CTACGCTTGGGCCATACATTTGTTTCCGTGGCAGTCTCAAAGGGATGGCAAAAAGTTGGCCTCGTAGCAAACACCTCTTGCCAACAGAACCAAGCCTATTGAAAGCCATGGCAACAAGCTGACAAACGGTTTGGGCACAAGCACATCGAAACCAACATGGGAACCCATATGATGTTTCCACGGGACTGCAAGGAAAGGACTTGCAGCCATCTGCAAGTCCAATTCCTCTTTGGGTAATTCGTCCGTTCGTCCCTCCCCCCCCCCGGGTTTGTGCGGGTGAAAACACCCTTCCTTGCCCTCCCAAACTTGGGACCTCCCCGGGTGGTTGGATTCCATTTGGCTTCCTCAGCTTGTGAAAACAAACCCAAATCGAATTCCAACTATGTGTCTGCTTTCCCTGGCTTCCGAACGGCACGCAGGCTCATGGCCCAGAACAGGTCTTGAGGCTGAACTTGTTTATAAAACCACGTCAGGATCACTAAAGGCTCCTTTTGACTTCGGACATGGAGCCATGGTTTCTGCCAAGCCCCAGGCATTCGTGATGCGCTTGCGCAGCCTCAAGGTGTCCTGTGTCACGCATGAGGCAACCCACCCCTAACCACACAAGACTCTTCCACACAGAGGGCTGAGGTTACCATGATTACCCCTATTGAAAGCAACAGGCAATTCTTGGGGTGCATTGGAACCCTTGCTTTTCAGATCGGCCCCCAGGGGTACATTGACAACTCTGGAGACCACATGCGACCCCCTCCCCAATACTTGTGTAGTGTGTTTCTTGCGTTGAAACATCACCAGCAACCAAAAAGTGATGCTTCGGTCAGCCGGCAAGAGAAGCCATCTGGTGGTTTGGGCACTCGAATCCCTGGTTTCCAAGCTACTCCCGACACTGCACCCGCAATCCCAGCCAATTCGGGCAAGCTGCCACTGCCAAAATCAAGCTGTAACCTGGAGGCCTCACAAAAGGCGCAGTGCAAGTTACACAAGGACAACAACTTCGAGCATCACGCGCCTGGGGGACCTTCATGGGCGGCGGCAGCGTGTTGCGATCCTTCACGCTCCGAGCCTTGGCGAGCCGACATCCTTCCTCCTGGGTTGGTTTGGGGCAGGGTGGGGGTTGAGCCGTCAGAGGGGGGACCTTCTCGTTTGGTTTCTACAGATCGGACCGGAGACCGGACCTCAAATCGAAGCCACTCATGTGGACCTCAAAGAGCTGATCCTCCCGCTGGCTCCAGCAACCACATCCAAAATACATTTAAGACCATCGGCACATTCCCGCCTGCATTCCATTCTGGGGAACTTGGAATTGGCTGGCTGGCAAGAATTCGGCAAGAATGGCTGACAATCCTGGTTATCCAAGCCTGCATATTTGCTCATTTGGTTGACCCATATGTCAGCATCCAGCGGTACTTTACATATTTCGCAACCAAGCTGGTGCAAAATGGCGAGTGGCTGTCTCAACCGTTTGGCGCACTGGAAGTGCCGAGTTTCCTTGCATCCCTTTCAATTCCCAAGCCACGTTTAGACTTGACACATCAAATCTAAAATCTGGAACCGAGATATTTCGAAAGTAGGAACTCGGCTTGTACCCTACTCCAAAGTCTGGTCGAATCGGATCAAGTGCCCAAACGCTCTCGAATTGCAGCCGGGTTTTTGGTGACCCCGTGACATCCTCTTCGAGGGCCCAAGGTTTCTTGCGCGCTTTTCTGTTGCGCTTGGGCTCTGGGCCAAGGAGGTCCGCAAGAGGTGGATCAAGGAGGTGTCGACCTGGCCGACACTACCGAGGATTCAAAGCATTGCACGTGGAACCACGGATGAACGGGCGGACGGGACGCCTAGAGAACCAACTGTCGAACAGAACCGAGGGCAATGTTTGCCCTTCATGCCCGTTGCCACAAATGGGGTCGAAATCCCCCTCCACCAATTCTAGTTATAAGGGGAACCTTGGCTGCCCACCCAGGAAGGCTCACACTCGGAGTGTGTCAAGCATCCCCGATGTCACATTCTCTGACAGGGAGGAAAGAATTGAACCTCCCCAAAAAGGTGCTGCTTTCAACACATTTCGGCGCAGACCCCCCTCTGTCCCCAACATGGCCATCCTGACCCGCTTCCCCGTCCCCCGCGCACATCCTTTTCCTTTTGATCATGGGACCCCCTCATTCAATCGCTGTCCTTGGCTCCGCAATCCCCAATCTCTGGCCCCCTATTTCCCTAAAGACCCTGAACGTGTCACAAGAGCCCCCTCTGGCTTCAACTGAAAGGGCAAGGTCCATCTTATTTGCTGCGCCATGGTCTACACCTGGTATGAGGGGAATTGTCTCTTACGGTGCCTCGAATCTTACCAAAGGGGTTGATGAACATTAATCATTCAGTCTCTGATATGGTTTGAGGCAAACCATTATAATTCAGTATACCATTGCTGGCGTCTCGGACCAACTGAGTATAGGATACCCCTGCCGCATTCCAGTCAGAATGAGAGGGGGCTGTTCAACTCCATTTACCCTCCCTCACATTAACATGGAACCCAACTAGAATTTCCTGAAAGCCAACTTCCAAAAAGGCCCTTTGGTGGGATCCATGCTGGTTGGTGGGAAGGTCACCAAAGGAGAAACGCTCAGGCAGCCATTCTGCTTCTCGAAAAAACGGATGACTTGCCTTCTCCTCCCAGCCCTGCTCCGTGGTATCGCAGATCTCCGGGGAGAAGTGCCTGGTGTGGCTTTTGGGCGCGCCGGCCACCAACAAAGCATATGTTGACGGGTACCTAGTCTTGACACCTCACTTCCTGAGTGGATGAGCCAACGAAAGTCTGAACCTTTTGTTTACCCTAAAATGGTCTTCCCAAAAAGTATCAAGTTCATGAACTCAAGAAGTGAGACACTCATTTTGCTTTTGGTTGCATCGCCAAGAGATATGAGATTCCTATCGTGTGCCTCTTGTCCGCATCACATCCCCCGTCAAACTGACGCTGGGGATGTACAGAGGGAAAAGCCCCTGGATCAAACTGAAGGACTTACAACAACCGCTGAACCACCATGGCAAAATTCAGGTGCGCCACGGTCCGACATTGACCAACCGTGAAAACATTGCTTGAGTGTGGAGAACATTTGGCCATATTTGGCTTTGTTCACGGGGCACCAAATGGATACCGCCACTGGGAGACATCCAGCTGCTTTTAGCACCATGTCCAAACCTGATAGAAAGAGATATAAGCCCGTGAGTCATGACCGCCCCTATCCAACTACACTTGACATCCAAGTACCCAGGTCAACCCTTAGCGCCTTCTGAGCACTTTGTAGTTCTCATCATCGAAGCCAAATCTGAACTTGATGAGCAGCAGAACGAGCCTTGGCCACACGGGACTCAGGATCTATCGGACAAGCCACGGCTATTGAGCTGATGCAAACCACACTCACAAAATCACCATCATTTGAGTTGTGAAAGGTGCTTCATTCCCCCTGCAAACAGAAAGTTTGACAACTCCTCAAAAGGTTCACTCTGGACTCATCAGTATGGTTTTTTGAAACAGGGGCCACTCAAAGGTAGAGCCAAGTGCATCCAAGGCTGGAACTCGGTAGCAGCTGATAGATGGCAAGACACCTCCCAGGACGAGAGTTTCAACAAAGCTGAACCAAGGCTTGTATTTCCATCATCGTACCCTTTCAGGGGAAGGTACATCACTTGCGTTCAAGAACATTTGCCCAGCGCTGATCCGAGTCGCGTTCCTGTTTTGGAAAATAAATTCCGCTGGGATGCCATTCCCAATTTGAGAAGCTGCGCCGGATGGCCGCGCAGGATGCTTTTACGTGCTGATGTTGTCCTCAGGGGCATGTTGATGCCTGGTAAAGTGTTCGTGTTTGTTTGATGGCAAATGCTCAGCTTAGCACGAAGTGGTTTGGATTAGTGGTCCGCACTTCCTCTCTTGAAACCAAACCACCAACCACCAATTGGGTGAAATGGATAGGAAGCCCGCAAGGGAGCTATCTGAATCCATCTTTCAGCTGGCAGGCAGCTTGTGGGCGGCCTCTTGCAGCACTTGACCGGCTGTTTTCCCCCGTTTTTCGCACCGCCGAACAACTCCGGAACTAGCTGAAAACAGATCTCGTGCTCACATCTAGTCAGCCCCTGTTGTAGGCTTGAATAATCGTTGCCTTTGGTTTATGTTGGTTGGCATAAAGTGCATCTGTAGGGATCATCCAAGGCGCAGGTGCGAATCGTCTAGAGAGACCGGGATCGGGCGCCAAGAAAGATTGGCAGGCCGTGGCAGTGGGCAGGTGATTTTGTCTTACAGCAATGCTTGATTTCAAGGGAAAAAACACACACACACACACACACACACACACACACACACACACACACACACACACACACACAACTTCACAGGGCGGGCCACTCTCCGCAAAAATGGGCTTCCCATTTTGACGATCCTACCAAGAAATCCGTTTGCGCGGCTATTGACACAAGTTTGGCCGTTTACTTGTTACAATAGGGTTTTGAGCCTAGACCCCTCTCGCGACAATTGAGCAGTGCCCAAAACCTATTGACTGGTTCTACCAACCGGGTAAAGGTGTCGCATCGTCCCTTACTGAAATGCGTATGAAACCACGTTGCAGAACAACGTCGTAAGAATTTGCCAAAAGGGATTTGGGCACTGCTCTATATCTTCCGATCCAGTGACAGCCAACATCGGCGCACCGTTCTCAGAGCTTGCTCTACTTCGTCGATACCGTCTGTGAGCAGGATCGTCTGCTCGAAGGTCAGGTTCAGCCTGAGATACATCCTCTGGGTGTTCATTTGAGTGATTCGGACCCCCTTCAGGGGTGCATCGAAATATAGGAAACCTAGTCTCTCTGGTGAGTCATCGTCACAATCAAAGCCTGATACAAACAATGTAAAGAACTACCAAGGCGGTCACCGCTGCTTCTGCTTGGGATTGTGCCCTACTCGCCCTCATCTACTCGTGTTTTGGTTTCTTCCCTGAGACCCGGGCAGCGTGTCCAGGTGGTTCAGAGGCGAAGGATTGCGATCTTTGAATCGCACGAGCCTAAGGCCCACCACTCGTCGCGGTCAAGCAGTCTGGAGGTCACTTGGATGTTCGGCTCACTTGGCAAGTACTGACCCAGGTGCTGAGGCAGTCACACCACTTGCATATGAATGGGTTGTGCGCAGTGTGTTTTCCAACCACATGCGAATGAGATATCCAGCGCATCTCGGCCCGGCGCAGGCGCTTCTGGATGACGCGGTACTGCTGCGTCCTATCTGCCAAATCCTGCATTGGCTTAAGCCAACATGCACCCACTCCAAATCCCGTTGAGTCTACTGCATCTCCCTCACTCCCCTCTCTCTCTCCCTGTCTATCTCTCTATGTTTGCCATATTGAAAGCCGCATCCCTGGGGTGAAGCTGATTGGAAACCCTGAGCGCGCCCAACTTTCCAGCCCGGCTGAGCAAACACTTTCTCGGAAGTAAACCCGGAAACTCCACCCTTTTCCCAAAACAAAACCGCCCAATCCCCGGAATCCAAGGCTTACTGAAGTATCTAAGGCTTATCAACGGATCCAAGGGATCCAAGGGATCCAAGGCATCTAAGGCATCGAAGGCATCCCCAGGGATCGGCTCGAATCCAACCGCTTCTCTCCGATTTTGCGCCTTCCGCAGCTCATCCAAGTGCCTCCGCAGCTCGAAGTGGTCGTCGATGAGGGCGAAGTAGTCGTGCCTGAGCGAGCCAGCGATCGAACCTCGCCGACGGATGGAGCATGATGGAGCCCGGTAGGCTGGAAACGAGGGGCTTTGTTCGGCAGCTCCTGTGGCTCCCATTTCCTAAGACAAACCAACAGGAAATTCATCCTGGGCTTTTTCAAACCAATTGGCCAGAACCTCCTTCAAAGGAGGCAGACCGAGCGCTGGACAGCGGCAAGCTGTCCTGGAAAGTGATGAAAAAAGGCTCCTGCGCGGATTTCAAGCCACAGGTCATGTGGTTTGAGGCACTCTTTGGGGTATCTTTAAAGGGAAACCAAAAGGAAAACCGCAATGTGGTGAGCCATCTTTGACGCATGCCCATGTAAACATTGCACAGTATGGCGTCTCAAAACAAGATTGACCCCTCTGGAGAAGAAGAGTCAAAGCAGTCCCTCACCTCTGAACCTTCAATTACCAAACAGACCACACCACTCGTCCGTGTCTTGGTCAATATTTAATTCATAGGAGGGCTGGCCAGGGTGAATGAGCGTCTGTGATGTAAACAGGGGTCTAGAAAATTCAAACTATCCATCCCTCGTGGTTCTCTTTAGCGACAAACCCCTGGTGGCGAAATAACATGATAAAACTAGCATGCAGTCTGTTACTCCCGAGCTGACAGGTCTTGTTGACCATGGCTCTCTTTGTTTGAAACATGGCCAACTCCCGTCTGCTGGCGTTGTGCCTTTCTCTGATACCCAAGTGAGATGTCGCCATGATAACCCCCTTAAAGGTAAGGTCCTTGGTTCTAAAATATGATTTCCACAAACATGACGCGGTTCCATCAATTCGGCGAAAACATACAGAAAAAAAGATACCCTGATTTGTGCTGCATGACGCTTTCTTTAGCCCGGCGTCAAACTCATACACAGGGTTGGGCTAATGACTTCCTTGAACGTGTTCAAGCCTGTTGCTGCTTAAACAGAGGCTCTGCTGTCCCTTTAAATTTGAAAATTCCCACCGTGAAGACTTAGATTCGCCAAGTTGCTAGTATCCTCAAGGCCTTTTCTGGATTCGCCAAGGTCCAGGAAGGAACTGCTCAACGTTCGAACACTTGGAATTGCCTTCAGCTAGCAGACCTCCCCCCCAAGAAAAAAAGGAGGAGGTTCGCTTTGTTCAAGGGAACTCACAGGCCCCCCACGGAGGGTCCTCACCCTCTGCGTAGCCTGGCAAAGCGCTCAACCCCTTTCTGAAAGCAAAGGACTCTGCTTTGGAAAAGAAAAGAAACAAACAACTTTAAACAACCAGTTGCGAACTTGTGCTACCTGATGTCGCCGGCTCAAGACCCCTCACAACAAACAACACGGACTTGTGGGTGGCCGCAAAAGAACTGATGGTGCATTGAGCTTCCACTAGAATGAGAGGGAAGCCAAAAGGAACCCTTTTGGGAAACCAACCTTTTCAAAGATTCCTCACACAATTTTGTGAAGTAGCCGCAGAGCCAGTGCGAGCCTTCGCCGCCAGGACCAAAGTACTCGTGGAGTCTGGTGCACAGCTCCTGCAACACAAATGTGCCGAACTTGGGCACGCTGGGCGAATTGCCTGGTTGAGTTTTGAGTTTGTGTCTCTTTTTGAGGGTACCCTTTTTCGATTGGTTTCAAAGGGAACAAAGAGGAAACCAACCATTTGGGGGGCTCCCAAAAAAGACACACCCATTTGCTGGTTTGCTGGATAGCTGGTTACCTGGTCAGCTGCTTAGCTGGTTTGCTGGCTATGCGCAGAGCCTAAAGATTCCATGACTTGCCGATGTTTGTTGGGAAGTCGGTGAATTGGAAAGTTGGCAGGGTGATGGGTTGGTGATTTGGTAAGTGGCTTTACTGGCAAGTTGGGGGACATTTGCGCTTTAGACATGCATCATGCACCACCCAAAAGCAAAAATTGGCCGTGGGGGTGGGAAGCGCTAATGCCGGCGGCTGGCTCCTCTGTGAGCACCCAGAGCGCAGCAAACTCCGTCGCCTGGACGCAGAAGCGCCCGCTGCTTTTGAGCCTCGGGCGAAAGGCTCAGGGGGGCCCTTTCCCTTTCAAAAGGCCCCAACGCTTGTTGTGATTCACACAAGGGTCGTGGGTCTGCCTTGTTTGAGGGACCACCCGAAATTGTGGGCGGTCCAATTGTTTCCAATTGAAAGGCACAAAAAACTGGTACCAAAAACAAAAACAGACCCATATGAGTGATTCAAAGCTGAAACCTGTTTGGCTACAAAAACGTGAAATGGAACAGTTTTGTTGCTTTGTGTGCGTGTGCGTAGGAAAGCTCAGTACAAACAGTTGCACCCTTTGGGGAGCGCTTGAAGGGAACAGGCATGAAGAGTGAAGCCCACCATTTAAGAGCCCCCACGTTTGACACACAGCTACGGTCAATCTATTTGGCAGGGCGGAAACATATCCCAGGGAAAGAACCCTGGGTCAAAAAAGCGGGCACCCCAGATCTTGGGAAATGCTCAATGTAGAAGTTGCCACTGAGTGCCTTTCTTCACATATGGGCTTTTGCTGTGGATGGACAAAATTTCTGCATCACGTTGAAACCATGGTTGAAACCATAACCTTTGTTGGTACCGGGGAATCGAATCATTCCAGGGTTTCTGAACGATGGTGGACGTGTGATGCGAAGGCTCTGGGCACCCCGGCACCACCACAGTCGCCTCTGTCCCGGAAACGTACTGCACGGACAGCAGGTTTGACATGCCCTGGCCCGCCGCAGACCTCGGCTTGAAACGGCCTGTGTGGCCTATGCTGTGATGTCAGGGTCTACCTCAGATTTTGCCCCCAACAAGCATGCGACATGCTTAGACATGCTTAGATATGTTTCGGCTATGTTCCAGTGAACATTAAAAATTACAGTGAAGTCTGACAAGCTCCCGGCGGTAGGGCAATCCGACAAGAAGAAAGGCCCAACCCTGAAACTGCGGGATTCCTACGTCCGGACTCTTCGCAATTCGGCTCGCGGCCATTGACGTTTGAATCAAGGGAGGCAACCTCCTGTGTCACATTGCCATGTGGGGTGACATGAGAAGCCCGAAGATGTGCAAGCTGCAGGTGCACGGGGCCCAAATCCAGTGCTTCCTACCTGGAAGTCATGAGGGCACCCTTGTGATGTACATGCCTTTCCTTTTACTCATCAAGGGAAGCAAAGAACCATGCATACAAAAGGGGGGCCCCTTTCTGCATGTGGACTCTCATCCCACTGCAGGGATGGGGCCCGAATTGGAGCCGATGACAACTATACGCCCAAGCCAAGACGACACCTAGGCCCAGCTGGCTTTGTGGCACCCAAAACCTCTGCGATTTCCTACTGAGTACCAGCAAGCGATGTTCATCACCCTGCACCCTGCGAAGACGTGCAGGGAAGCCGCCCATTCTGATGGTCGATCTTAGTCTACATGTCACTCTGTTTTTGGCAGAACCTTGTTTCGGTTACTTTTACAGGGAAAACAACCAGGAAAACTATCCATTTCGGGCACAGGGTTCTCACCAGCTCGCCGGCTCACACTGAGCACCCCGAACGGCTGGTTCAGAAGACCTCCGAACAGCGTCTGCAGCGGGGGCGGCTGCCTCGGCTTTGACCCCGGAATCCTGATCCGGACCGGATGCCATGAACCCCGGGGTGGTTCCCCCAAGGAAATTATATCTACTTTTGGGAGTTCCTCTGACTGAAGTTGGCACTAGCAACATTAGTTGCAGAACTTACAGGGTTCCATGGAGCGTACCCAAAAACCTCCAGTTCGCGCAGCCTGGGGTGACACGGGCCCGGTCTATGTGCAGTCTGAGTGCTCCTCTTGCTCCACATGGATGGTCAAATTTCACGGACTCCCGCGTCTAAACACCCACAATGACAACCTTGGGGTTTTCCTTCAGCGCGCCCCTCTTTCAGAGGGCCCCACCGGTTGCAATCCAGCTGGATCTTATGGTTCGCATTCTTCACCGGCGGAATGGGCTTGGCCTCGCTCGCCCCCGAAGGCCAATAGCTGGCCTTTGAGTCTGGAAAGATTGGAGAAGCGCGTGCAATATATATATATATATATATATATGTACCAGCATTTGGCACATTTTGGAGAGAAAACAC